ACCTGTGATTCTCACCTACCATTGGGTTAGATTTGAAACTGGAGGAAAAGAAATCCAGCCAGCTGCATAACATGGGGAATTTAAAAGATCAATAAGAGAAACAAGAAAAAAATGAAAAAAAAATCTTTCAAGTAACAACTCATACTTTCCGGGAGAGCCACAGAGCATAGATTGCTATTATAAAGCAGCATATATATGTATTATTTTTAGCTTGCAAAGCCTTATTGATTTTAAGACAGTCAAGGAAGCTGTAACACCCGCATGATTAGTGTGTTGTGATACATGCTATTTTTTGTCTCTGAAAGTGTCATTGATTTCTGAGAGTCCTGACACTTTTAACAGAGATTTTGAACCCAGTGAACAAGGGATCAGAGTGACAGAGACAGTCTTTTTGTGGTGGCAGGAGAGATGGTCTTAGGCCATTTTCCCTGTGATATCATGTTGGCCATAATGTAAGAACCCACTTCTTAAATCCTGTCATCTGCTTTTTACAAAGAATTGAATATGGGTCTAGCTGAAGGTTGCCCCAACATTTACTAAGCTATGTGATATAGAAGTCATTTAACATCTCTGAACTTCAGCTTCCTCATCTGTTATAATGGGGATAAAATATTTATAGTAGCTACCTCACAAAATTGTTATGTTCATATGATACAATATATTTGAAGTACATGGGTGCTGACTCTTCTTAGACTATAAACTTCCTGAGGGCAGGGGCTTATCCAGACTTTGTGTCTGTCCTAGTAGTCTGTACACAGAAGTCCTTAATAAACGTTGTTGTTAAATGACTTAGAATATCACATAGGCATAGGAGAAGGAGAGAATGGATAAAGAAGATATCTTGGTTACCATGTCGGAAAGATTATCACAAGACTTTTTCAGGATTAGTCTGAAAGCGCTGAGTGGTAGATATAATTTATACAACTAATTATTATCAGGCACTGTGCTACATCATTAACCTTTTTTCTTAGGAGTTGCAGGATGTTATGACCCATTTCTCTGTACCATGACTGGCCTACCTGAATGAATGAGAGAGTATTACGTTTGAAACTGGATCCAAGGGTCTCTCACCTGAGGGGCTGTTTCAAAATCTTTTACACTAGCCTTTGATTTGCCTTCCTTAAGCCTTTGGAAAGATAATGTGTCGCTTTACTCATCCAGAAAGGTGGTTTAATTATCTCACTACTGTACATGAATTGTTTATTGTGTGGAATCTACTTAAGCCATCTCTCTGAAGGATGGGGAGGTGGGTGGAGAATAGCAATAGAAATTGCAATATCCTAAACCCCCAGTGACCGACTCTTTTGATGCCTTTGAAACAGCTGTGGTATCCCTTCTCTTGCTGACAAGGTCTCACGTTAATGTAGGGATTAGAATAAAATATCAAAATATTAAAATGTGAAATTTGCCCTCTTTACCTATCTCCCAATCCCCATCCAATTGTGGATTCCATCCTTTCAGGTCACTTCCCAGTACATTCACTCTGTGACGACAAGTTTATTGTGTGTTACAGTAAAGTAAAACAGGGAAAGAGACCAAACACTAGTGTTTGAATCTGATTATCTCCTAGTCATTTTTTTTTCTGTTTTTCTCCCAGACCCTTGAGTGTAGTTGGACAGATATATCCTTAGATATATGCAATTTAAGAAAAAAAATGGTGAAAGGGGTTATGTAGTATCTCAGACTTATGGACTTAAAAAATCAAAACTCTGAAACAAATGAACAAAACCCAGGAAAGCTGAGAAGACAGTAAAGGGGTTCTGTCTACTCTTAATCTCCATTTTAGGAATGCAACTTCCTGAGGTCAGCAGCTAAGCTAGTATTCATACCATCAGTAGTCTCAGAAGCTCTGGATCTTTTCTCCTCTTGGCCTTCATTCACTGTAACTGTCCTAGGATCTGAAGTGGTCTCTGATATGGTGGTTTCCATAGTGCCATTCATCATGGCACTATAGCTTCTGGTGGAATGGTCATGGTTATCCTCCCTAGTCCCTGATTATTCTATCTGCTCCCAGCCCATTTCTGAAAGTCCACATAACGAAATCAGAGGAAGGAAGTAAAAAAAGGTACTGCAACATTCAGATAGTATCCCTTTATCCCATGAGTTTTTAACCTTTTGTATCCTGGACCTCTTTGGCAATCTGGTGAAACCTACTGGCCCCTTGTAAGAACAAGTGAAAAAAAATCACAATGGAAGAAAATGCTAAATTTTGGTTAGAGATTAGTGGGAAAAGAAAAGATGTACATTTTTCTCATCTAGATTTATAGACCCCCAGAAATCTGCCACTGGAGCTGCTGGTCTGTGGATGCCAGGTTGAGAGCTCCTGCTCTAGCCTAGCATGTACTTTTGAATGTGATCCTACATGAGGAGTAATGAGCTTCCTCCGCCAGGATCATCAAAAATTGCTTTGTCAGTCTCTGTTTCAGTGAATCATGTTGGGCCAGAGGAAAATTGATTCCAAGAAATAACAGGGCAGGCAGGGCACCAGCTGTCCAAGGCTGATGAAAAAGGGTCACATCGGTGGCAGTCTAGCCAGCTACTAAGAGAAGTCACTTATTTCTACCAAGAGTAGTATAAACTGAAATCTGGGGTTCTGTAGCAAGCTCCACTGGGCTGAGAGCCCATTGTTAAATTTTCAGCTTAAGCATTCACACCTGGGAAATCAGTAAATGCTATAAATCAGAGCTTGATATATTGTTTTGTTGACTGTCTAGACTTAGGAAAGTGATGGAGAACCTTAGCAACATTGATTAAATTGAAAAGTACATCAGGTGTACTTCCCCCGGCACGCCTTTTCCTTCTTCTCCTCCTCTTCCTTCTTTAAGTGCTTTAACATATAAAGGCAATTCTACTCTAATGGACATACGTGTTCCTAGAAAGCACCTTGCTATGCAAAATCACACAGTAAAACCCACAGAATTTATAAGGAAGATGGAGTTAGGGGCCACTTAAGAATTTCATCAGTAACACATAAAAAAAAATAGGAACCTAACCAAAAAAAAAATGATAGTACAGTTTTATACATATGTAGTGGCTCTATCTGCGTCCCACAGGCTGGGCAAATTAGGCCCACTGACTGTGGTGGAAGAGGATGGGAGTGAGGGTGTGGTGCAAACCAGCTCTTCTCCCCTCAGAGCTCCTACTTCATCAGAAGATATATACAATAAATAGGGTGCTTTACTTTGACCAAGACCTGAAAGTTTGTTTGTGTGAGTGGGTAAGTCTGATGTGTTGTATAGCTTGTGAGTTATCGTGAAGTGGGGTAGTTTTCTGAGTTTTTTCATTTCTCGTGGAAGAAATTAGGCAGAAGCCAATTCAAAATTTGAGTTATACTCAGAATGATCTCTTATATCAATTGGGTTGGAACAGATTGGTGTTTTTTAAACACATTATAACAGAACTATGTATGCATTTTCTCATTTGGTTTTCACAGCAACCCTATGAAATAGGTGCTGCTGTTAACTTCATTTTACAGATGAGGAAACTGAGGCTGTTGCTGTTCATTTGCTTCAGTTGTGTATGACTCTTCCTGACCACATTTGGGGCTTTCTTGGCAGAGATACTGGAGTGGTTTGCTTTTTCCTTCCCTAGCTTGTTTTACAGATGAAGAAACTGAGGCAAACAGGGTTAAGTGACTCACCCAGGATCACACAACTAGTAAGTGTTGGAGGCCAGATTTGAACTCTGGAAGATGAGTCTTCCTGACTCCAGACCCTGCATTCCATCTCCACTGTGCCACCTTGATGCCCAAAGTGAGGCTGAGAAAGCTTAAATTTGGACTCGTTCAGGATTAAATTGCTCTATGATGTCTCGAGGCAGCATTTGAACTCGTCTTCCTAACTCAAAGTCCAGCATGTTATACACTATACCACTATAGCTGCCTCAGTGAGAAGATCACCTCATGTCTCTTAACTTGCTTAATCATCTCTGGCAACTGTACTATTTGTTATGATTCAAGTGCCAGTGTTTTAAAGAAATTACTGGGAGGAGAATTATTTGAACAACATTTAAATATATGATGTTGGGGAAATTTTCTTTCGACAATGTTTTCACATGTCGCTTTTTAGAAAGCCACTGTATTCAAAAATGTCATCACCGGTAGGATATGTTTATTGTAGCAGCATTTTCTCAAGTTATTCTAGTGTTAAGTACTCATTGTCTCTTAGGAATCTAGCAGAATTTTTTAGGCAGAGTGTGCCTTTTTCATTCAGTGATGGAACATAGTTGTCATGAATCTCTTCCTGGGGAGTGGGACATAATTTATTTATTAAATTTATTAAATGCCACCTATCTTCAGGGCACTGTGGTAAGCACTGGGGATTGAAAGACAAAAAGCGGCTCCTGACCTAACGCTTATTATGTTCTCTTGCAGTGATATGACATGTAAGTAGATAAGAAACTTCATGATCATTTGAAAAGGGAGAGAGAACCAACTTGTCTGTGTTGGGGAGTGAAGGAGAAGAAAGGAGGATCATGAAAATCTTCTCCTGGCACTTGAGCTGAGCCTTGAAGGAGGTTAGGCATTATTTTTGAGGTGAGGAGGAAGTGCATTCCTGGCATGGAAGACAGCCTGGATAAAGTCGCTGAGATTGTGCTTTTGTGGAATAGAAAATAATGTAGTTTCTAGGAGAGTATATAAAATACACGAAGTACTGTGAAATAAATATAAAAGTAAAATAGATAAACATATTCTTCTAAGAAAACTCTGTAGGTGATGCTGACTTTTTGTAATTCAGTTAGCCATATTCCTTTGAATGGAGTCTAAGATATATACTTGCCTAAAAAAGCTCCCGCAGTATGATTGGCAATCTCAAAGTTATGAAAACCTGACTTATGAATGGCTGCTACCTACCAACGACCCCTGCTCTCAGAGTTCCTACCCATATAATCCCATTATCTCTTGCTGTCACACTCTGTGTTATCAGAATGAGGGGGTCCATGTACCTCGTTTTTAGACAGTGGACTTTTGGGAGTATCATCTTGTCTGCTTCTTTGCACAGGTGGGGACGCTCAGAAGTGACTTCTGAATAGGTCGTGCTCCCCAGTGATGCTTTCCAATGTGGATTTGCATGCTAAACAATCCTTGGACTTGTGTCATCAAAAAAGAGTGGTGGTCTTGGTGTCAGAGAATGTGAGTTCAAATCCTGACTGCCTTTGTGACTTGGGGTGTCTGTGCTCCTTGGAATTCCCAGTGAGCCCTGCTACAGTCCCTGTCCAGGCAACCTGCCTGTAGTGTGTTTGTCTTTGCCCCAGGAGAGGTCTGAAGATGCCAGTGCTCTAGAGCAGTAATATTAAACTCAAATAGAAATTGGGGTAGGGCATGAAGCTGTACATAAAGTTCCCTGTGGAGCACATATTGACTTAGAAAACCATATATTAATTTTATCTGTGTTCTATAGTATTTTTGTTTATTTTGTTAAATATTTCCCAATTTCATTTTAATATGGGTCAGTCGTCATTCCCCAAAGGTGAAGTGTTTGGCACCTCTGTTCTAGAGGCCTTTCTCAAATCAGACCCACCCTTAATTAGATCCCCAAGCTGCTTCCCTCAATGGATCTCTCTCTCTCTCCATCCAGATACTCTGGGTTCCATTCCTCAGTGGATGGAGTACTTCCAGCCTTTCATGTGCTGCCTATCCCTGTGATTCTGAACCCTCAGCTGTCCTTGTACAAACTCTGTTGTTCCCTATTCTACATTGCCTGCTCAGAGGACCCTGCTCCCCTCCTGCCCACTTCCCATTCCTTTAATCTGCATTCTCTCTCCATTCTAAACCCTCTGAAGTTTGGCTTCTGACCTCATCATTCTGCTGAAATCACTCTCTCTGAAACTGTCAGTGTTTTCTGCATTGGCAGATCTAATAGTCTTTTCTTAATCTGGATCCTTCTTAACCTCTTTGTACCTCTGTAGCCTTTGACACTGATGATCACTTTCTTCTCCTGTATACTCTCTAAACCCTTTCTATTACTATTGGAGGGTACCACCACACTTCCAGTCACCCAGTCCCATAACCTTGCTATCATCCTTGACTCATTCTCTTGTCTCTTCCTCCTGGCTTCCCACTGCCATCCTTAATCTTACTGCCTTCTCTCTGAAATTTTCTCCGGTTTGTCTTGCTTATAAAGTTATCCTTTCCACATTGTGGTGTAGGGACCTGGTGCCCCCATGTTCTGGAAAATCCATGTAAATTTTTTGGCTCTCCCTTTGTACCAAATAAGAAGTCTGCTTTTTTTTCCTTTTATTGTGAGAGAAGAATCAGAACAAAAGTATGAAAAACAACAACAAAAAAGAAAATAGTATGCATCGATGTTCATTCAGACTCCGTAGTGCTTTCTCTGAATTAGCATTTTCCATCATGGGAGTCTTTTGGAATTACCATTGCATTGCTGAGAGGAGCTAAGTCTATCAAAGTTGGTCATTGTACAGTGTTGCTATTACTATGTACAATGTTCTCCTTGTTCTGTTCTGTGGTATTAATTCTTGACTCTTCTACCCTAAGGTTGTATTTTGGAATAATAGTGCAGTATTTGGTACAGATCTTCAGCTCTTTCCAACTATTCTGGATAGTTGGAAGCTTATCTGTATAAGTATGAAATGTCTGAATTTACACATGCACACACACTTTAATAACTTAGGAAAGGATTTTCCAAAACAGAGGTTCTTAACCTAAGGTCCATGAACTTTTATTTTTATACATAGATGTGTGTGTGTGTGTGTGTGTGTGTGTGTGTGTGTGTGTGTGTATGAAGAGAGATATTCATATAAATATTAAATTGTATTTCAGTAAAATTGATTTCCATTGTAATTTTTTGTATCTGGCTTTGTGCACTTAAAAACATTAATCTGAGAAGGGGGCCATAGATTTTCCCAGAGCGTCAGAAGGGTCCAGAGGGGTCCATGACACACTAGGCCCCTCTGGGGGGAAAGTTAGGAAGCAATATTATAAAATGTATGGGTTTTTTTTTTGTGGCAGCAGAGCTAGAAAAAAGTAGATGCTCATTGATTGGGAAGTTTTTCTGAACTATGGTAAATTAATGTAATAGAATGGAATGATTCAGTGATGAGAATGAGTGACTTGGAGAAACATGGGAAGATCTGTGTAAACTGATGCAGAGTAAAATAAAAAGAATCATAAAATCAATAGACACAGTGAATCTAATACTGTAGGGAGCTAGGTGGCACCATAGTGCACAGTGTTTTGCGCCTGTAGTCAGAAAGATCTCAGTCCAGATTCTGCCTCAGATGTTTACCAGCTGATTCCTGGGCAAATCACTTAACTTCTGTTTGCCCCGGTTTCCTCATTTGTAAAATGGAAATAATTCTACTATAATTCACACTATTGTATCAAAGATCAAATGAAATACTAATTGTAACATACTTAGTAAGGCACAAGTCACTTAACCTGTTTGCCTCAGTTTCCTTGTCTGTAAAGTGGGGATAATACTAGCACCTACCTCACAGGTCTCAAATGATGTAATTGTGAAGCACTTAGCACAGTGCCTGGTACATAGTACTTGCTTTCTAAATGTTAGCTATTATTATTGTTGTTATTAGTAGTAGTAATAATCCAAAGGGAGAATTCTGTAATTGTAACAGATAGATGTGATAAATAATTGATCCTGGTTCTAAAGAATGGACAATGATATCTGTCTCCTTTCTCTCCACAAAGAGACTGCAGAAGCAGAATGTTGTGTGCATTGTCAGATGTGGTAATTTCTACTGTTGTTTCTGGTTACTTGCTTTTCTTGGGTCATTTGGGGGTGAGGTGGGATGAGAACCTACATCCACACATGATTATGATATTAAAAATGAATGAAAAAATAAAAGGATGAACAGAACGTAACCTGTTTTTAAAATGATTGTCATCAATCTGAATATAAATTATTGTACTGTATTACAATACGGTTCTGCCTTTCGGGCCTCTTAGGGTATATGTATTCTGTGCTTCTACCCTAAATGGCCTTTAATTCGCTGTGCTTTTTAGGTCTTGTTCCCACTTTTTAGTAGTCCTTTCGGTCTGTCCTCTTGGGCCAGCTGTCATGTTTTTCTGCCCTTTCATTCTCTTTGAGCTCCTTTCCAGCTTTCGAATTTGATTATAAGATATGTTGCTTCGGTTTTCAAAAACAGCCCATTCGGCTTGTTAGGATTGTGTGTAAATAGGAGTAAACAGCTTATGAAACCTTAGGGTTTCTCTAGGGAGTTAAGCTTTGGCACATCAATTGATGTCAGCTTGGCAGCCCTGGAAAGAGTGGAGAGATTTGGAGGTAAAGAACCTGGATTTTAATTCTTCCTCTGCCTTGGGCCCCATTTTCCTCTTTATTTCATGTGTTTGTCAAGCTCAAATGAGATAATGTATGTAAAGTGTTTTGCCGATTTTAAAGGGCTATATAAATGTTAACTGTTATTATTGTGATTTAAAGATCAATATCTGGATCATTTTTCAAAAGCCACGGTCCACAAGGGGTGTTTTCCCTCTGAATCACCACTACTTTTAATATGCGTGCCTAAGTGATAACTTATAGTTACATCTTCAGGACTGGCCATTCCTGTTTATTCATTGTGAACCCCACCTTTCTTGGGAAGCCAGCCCCTGTGGATATTGTTTTTTTTGACTATTTTTATTATGCTGTATAACGGGCAATCCAGGTACTAGCTTTGATATTTTGATATTTTGCCAAGAAAATCAAGTCAAGTTTACTTCAGGTGAGATGTGGTTGGTTGGGCTGTATGCATTCTTAACTGGCATTTAAAGGGATTAAAAGATTAATTTTCTGCTCTGGCTGATTGTTCCTTTCTCTCTGTGGTGTTGAATGCTTAATTGTCTCTGGTTAGGCACCTCTCTTGTCTAGCTTTATTGTTTCTGGGCTGAAAAGAGATACTGTTAAATATCACACATAGGTAAATAGCATGATTGAATTTTTTTACCTTAATGGTATTTTTTTTTCAATTACACGTAAAGATAGTTTTTAACATTCAGTTTTTTGAGATTTTGAATTCCAATTTTTTTCTCCCCCACCCTCTATTTCCCCCTTCCCAAGATGGCATGCAGTCTGATATAGGCTATACATGTACAATCATATTAAACATATTTCCACATTAGTCATGTTGTGAAAGAATTAGAACAAAAGGGAAAAAAACGCAAGAAAGAAAGAAAAAAGAGAAGGTAGTGTGCTTCGATCTGTATTCAGACTCCATAGTTCTTTCTTTGGATGTGGGTAGCGTATTCCATCTTGAGTCTTTTGGAATTGTCTTAGACCATTGTATTGCTGAGAAGAGCTAAGTCTATCAGAGTTGGTCATCACACAGTGTTGCTGTTACTGTATACAGTATTCTTCTGGTTCTACTTACTTCACTGAGTATCAGTTCATGTAAGTCCTTGTTGGTTTTTCTGAAATCTACTTGCTCATCATTTCTTATAGAACAATAATATTCCATTACATTCATATACCGCAACTTGTTCAACCATTCCCCAATTGATGGGTATCCTTTCAATTTCCAAGTCTTTGCTACCACAAAAAGAAATGCCATAAATATTTTTGTACTTGTGGATCCCTTTCCTTTTTTTGTGATCTATTCGGGATACAGACCTAGTAGTGGTATTATTGCTGGATCAAAGGGTATGCACAGCTTTATAGCCTTTTGGGCATAGTTGCAAATTGCTCTCCAGAATGATTGGATCAGTTCACAACTCCACCAACAGTGCATTAGTGTTCCAGTTTTCTCACATCTTCTCTAACATTTATCATTTTCTTTTTTTTTATCATATTAGCTGATCTGATAGGTATGAGGTGGTACCTCAGAGTTGTTTTAATTTGCATTTCTCTAATCAATAGTGATTTAGAGCATTTTTTCCTGTGACTATAGACAGTTTTAATATTTTCATCTGAAGACTGTTCATATCCTTTGACCGTTGTGATTGAATTTTTTTTAAAAGCTGTTCTAAATAGTATGGCATGTATTATTTCTTTTATGAAACATGGAAAACCCATGTTTATCTCATAAAATAATAGCATTCACATGACACTTAAGATTTCTGAAGCCCTTTACCCATATTATCTCATTTGAGCCCCACAACAACCTTGTGAGGTGGGAACTATTATTATCCCGTTTTTATAGAGGAAGAAACTGAGACAAATAGAGGTCAAATGATTTGTCCAAGTTCATACATTTTAATATCTGAGGTGGAATTTGAGTCTTTGACTTTCTGACCCTGTCTAGCCTCTTCCTTTACCATTACATCACATTTCTTACATATTTATGGTGGTTAAAAAACTTCCATTGAAAGGAAAAGCAGAGTGATAACTTTGATGAGAGGCAGAGAAAGATGGAATTTGGTGGGGGGGGGAGGACTGTAAACAGACAGATTGCTTTTAATTTGCTAAGTTCTGGAATATTATTAATAATGCAAGGTGATCCAGGCTGGGTGGTGCTTATGTCTAATGCAATAATACTTTGCCAGAGGCATCAAATCTAAATAGTTTGTTTGCATAGAAGTGCATAATAGATATCACCGGGAGCTAGTCATGATAAATTTTATTTATAGTCCTTGAAATGAATGTTATTTTATTGAGTTCAGTCAGACAAGTACATCTCTCAGGGATATGAATAGCTTCTCAATTGAAGCAAATAGTTACTGGCCATGAAGAACAGACTTTTGTACATTAGAGAAAACTGAGGAATTTGGTGAGCTTTTAACTATGTACAATAAAGCCAAACAACATTCTAATGAGAATTTTATTTACAAATCAAGAACTGTTCAATTAATGGCCTTCATAATCCAGTTAACAGATTGGTCACAGATATAAGCCAGATTAGGCGTGACATATTGTTGTTTCGATTCAGAGGGCACCTTTTCCTTTTCATCTGTAATATGAGGTATAACATCATTTTGATGTTTTTTTAATATAAATCACTTGAGATCATGGGTATGCAGATTTTAGAGCTAGAGGAAATGTAAAACATCAGGAGTTAGCATGATGAAGTGGAAATTCATTGAACCTGGAGGTAAAAGACCCAGGTTGTCCCCCTAGACACTACTCCTCTTTGGGCCTTATTTTTCTCATTAGTATAGTGGGAATTTTTTTTTTTAGTGATCTCTAAATTTCCTTCCAGTTCTAAAAGTCCATGATTTTTTAAAACTAACTTCCCTAATTTTATGAAGGAGATGATACTCAGAGAGTTTAAAATGACTTGCCCAAAGTCAGACAGTATGTCAACCAGTATTTATTTAATTCACTTTTTTTCCATGCAAAACATATTTCCATGTTAGCCACATTGCAGAAGAAAACACAAAAGACCCCCAAGAAAAATAAAGGAAAAAAAGTATGCGTCAATCTGTGCTCAGAGTTTATCAGTTTTTTCTCTGAATGTGGATAAGATTTTCCCTCTTGGGTCCTTTAGAATTGTCTTGGATCATTGTCTTGATGTAGCTAAGTCTTTCACAGTTGATCATCGTTAAAATATTGCTACTGTTGTTTACAGTGTTCTTTTGATTCTACCTACTTCGCTTTGCATCAGTTTATATAAGTCTTACCGTGTTTTTGTGAAACTATCCTGCTCGTCATTTCTTATAGCACAATAGTATTCCATCACAGTCATGTTGTACCACAACTCGTTCAGTTAATTCCCAGTTCATGGACATCCCCTCAATTTCTAATGCTTTGCCAACACAAAGAGAGCTGCTGTAAATTATTTTTGTACAAATGGGTCCTTTTCCTTTTTCTTTGATCTCTTTGGGATATAGACCTAGGAGTGATAATCAGCATTTATTTAAGTCCCTTTTTTTGTGTCTTAGCACTGGGCAAAACCAGCCCCTTTTCTCAAGGAGCTCACAATTTAGTGAGGGAAACAGCATGCAAACAGCTAGGTACCAATGACTTCGTATAAACAAGATGTATGCAGGATAAAATCTCAAACAGAAAACAGGATTAAGACAGACTGGGAAACACTTCTTGCAGAAGGTGTGATTTTAGCTGAGAGGAAGGAATACAGGGGAAACTAGGAGGCAGATATGAGGAGAGAGAGTGTTTTGGGCATGGGGACAGCCTAGCATAATGACTCTTACAACAAACATTCTTTCCCATAAAATTTTTGAATGTCTACCATCATATTATGTAGGTATGTGAATATATATGCGAATGTACACATGCATGCATGGTAACACGAATACATTCGTATACATGCAGCCACATATATACACATATGCATGTGTATATATATACACGTATATACATAGACACATATGTACATACACACACACACACACACACACACACACACACACACACACACACCCCACACATTTTTTATCTATTCATACACACATCTGATAGTAGACATTCAAAAAATTTATGGGAGAAAATGTTTGTTATAAGAGTACTTTCCTAGGTGCATGTGTATATATGTGCATGTGCATATACATCTATTTATGTAGACATATATACTTATAATATACATTTATGCATATAAGTATATGTGTATATCTGTATCTTAATGTTGAAATCTTTGTTTTCATTTGTTGTGTTTCAGAATGTTGTGATGTGCTTTTGATGATTCAGAACTTTGGTGAAGATTGCCTTTGGCTGGACAGTTCTAGTCATTTAGAAAGTGTGAGTACCATTATTTGTATGGAAGTGTGAAGAGGAAGATTGTGTTTTATTTCCCCAAATCATCATTTAAGGGGAAGAGAAGCATGTTGAAAGTAATAAATGCATTGCAGACATCTTAATGTGAATTTGTTCTACAAATAGTATACTGCATTTTTTATAATTTAATTTTCCTACTTCGCTCAGAAGAATTGGGTGTGATACTTAATCAACTCCACCTTGGAGAATTAGGTGCGATACTTAATCAGTTAAGCAACAAAACAAAAATTACCTGACATAACAATTGCAGTAATATTTGTCTTGGAAGTAAATTCCAGATGCATTGAAGAATAATTTTTCTACTTATAATTGTATGGTTCTGTTTAAAATTTTATAGCTTAATTCATTTATTGAGGATTACAGATCCATTGTGTAATTTTTGTTAATATGTTTATGGAAGCAGTCCCTAATCACCATTTGTAAGATTCATAATTTAAAGCATGTTTAATGAATTGTAGAAAAATACTTCTTTTCTCATTTTAAATTGTCTTGTAGAGAACCACTGGTGAGGAGTGAGAACGTGACAATGAAACAGCTTCAAAAGAAGAGGAAGCGTAATGTAGATTCAAAGGACCATCTGACTCAGGAGAGAGGCAAGGTAAGGCCTGAATATCTGATCCGTTACGATAACGTGTTGATTTTCTGTGTGAAATGAATAGCATAGTTGTACATTCCTTTTCTAATCATCACTACCAGGTTTCTCATTCACACTATATATTTAGGACTTGATTAAGATTGATTGTCTGTCTGTCTGTCTCTGTCTATCTATATTTATGCATACTTTTTGTATACAGAATTGTAGTTATGGCCAGTTCACATACTGATAGAATCGGTAAAACCATGTATGTTCTGTTTAGAATGCAGAGAATTGTCAGTTTTTAAAAGTAAAATGGTAAAATAGGGATAGGAATTAGACCTGTGATATCACTGATACAGGCAGTTTTTCCCAGGTAAGGAAACTCTTTCTTCTACATCATCTCTGCAATTTAGAGTATCAGAGAGTTGTCTAGAGCGTTGAGCAGTTAAATATCTATGAGTCTGGATTTGAACTCAGTTCTTCCTGACTCTAGCCCCAGTTCTCTGTCCTCTGAGCCACCTAGCTGACTCTGTAGTAGTGACTCCTAAATCTTATATGGTCCTCATTGTGATGCACTGGTGCCTGACTTCTTTGGCTCTGGCTATTTGTGATATTTTATTTTCTTTACCTGGGAACTCTGCATTTTGGCTATATGTTCCTGGAGGATTTTTTCTGGGGTTCTTTCAGGAGGTGACCAATGAATTCTTTTAGTTTGTGTTTTGACCTCTGATTCTAACATATTTGAACAGTTTTCTTTGGTGGTTTTTAAAAATATGATATCCAGCCTGTTTTTTTTTTTTAGGTCACGGCTTTTGTGTATTCCAGTGATTCTTAAACTTTTTCTCCTCCCTTTGATTACCAGGTCACTTAAAAAAAAAACACCTTATTTTCCTTTTTTTTTTCTCTTCAGTCTTTTGACTTGTTTTAATATTTCTTGATGTCTCATTGAGTTCTTAGCTTCTATTTGGTCCATTCTTATTTTCATAAAGGGTAAGGTTTTGTACCTCTTGTTCCAAGTTGTTAATTCTTTATATCTTTCTTCCCTAGCTTTCATTTTTCCCAATCCCGCCCCCTCTTCCCCCATTGCTTTTGTTTTTTAAAATAACCTTTTAAAATCTTTTGAAAAAACCTGTTGCTTTAATTCTTCCTAGAATTCTGGTTTGTCTAATGTTTGACTAATGTTGTCCAGTGTTCTGTGAGACTGCTTGTAGATGTGTTTAACTCATTCTCTTTTCTGTTTTATTTTGAGCTTCCTGATCTCTGTAATAACTCTTTATAGTGTGATTGTTTTTTTATTTGCTTATTCTTCTCATCTGCTTCTTGTCTACGGACTTTATGTTAGCTCTAGGCTCTACATGCTTCTGGTGGAACGTCTGGGTTTGGTGGGAAACTATGCTGTACTTCTTCCCAATCTCTCTTAATTTTAGTGCCTCCAATCTGTTAATTATTCTCTATTTAGCTCATATATAGCTTGTTTGTGCATATTTGCTTGTTGTCTTCCTCCATCTGATTATGGACCTCTTGAGAGCAAGGACTACTTTTACTTTTCTTTGTATCCATAGCATTTAGCTCAGTGCCTATTAAGTAGTATATATTTAAAATGGTTATTGATTGACTAAACTGCCATCTTAACTTTGCTGCCCCCCCATAATACACTATTAAGTTTCATCTGCTTTGTTAATATTTCTCTGTCACTTTCTTAAATCTAGCCAATCAACAAAACAATAAAACAAGCCTTGATTTGTAGCATTTGCTGATTTTCAAGTTGTGAATGTTCTCATTGAAAATTTAATTATTCATCTCTCCAATATGAGCTGGCTCCAGCCCACCCCTTAATGTCATGAACTATTCATGTCCTATAAGAAATTATGACTATGAGGAGTACAGAGAATCATACAAACACTCATAAGAACTAATACAAGATCAAGTAAGAAGAACCATGAAAACAATAGAAATAATTACTTCAACATTGTAAGAGGAAAGAACAATTAAATAACCAAACCTGAATGCTGTGAAATTGTGATGACCAAGCTTGGTCCCCAAAAAGATGTATGAGAATGCATCTCCATCCCTACTCATACAGGTCAGGAGATTGTGTGGGTAGCTGCATTTGATATCAGATTTAGTCTGAACTGATTTTTCCTCTCTAGTTCCATCTTTTGTTATAAGAAATGACTCTTTGGGAGGGAAAGGGAAGAAGAACATATTGTGAAATGTAAACAATATAAAAAATATATCATGAAGAATTAAAATACAGAAAGAATATTGGTATGTCTAACATAGTTCAACAAAGTTGCAGTTTATTATGGGGATTATTGAATCGGTTTCCAGTGCTTTTTTTTTTTTATATTCATTAAGCCTGTGTATATTGCTATCTGGGGCATTGATGCCATGGTAACAGATCAACAAGCATTTATTAAGCACTTACTATGTGCCAGGCACCATATTAAGTTTTGGGCATGTGAAGAAAGACAGAAATCCAGTATGATATTGGGAAATCTAATCTTTGGGAAGATTCTCTTTCACAGGGAAGTAAAGGCACAAAGGAATTTTTATTTCCAAGATGGTGACTTGAAATTGGCCAGTAACAAAAAATTGGCAAGGAATAAAAAGCTTTAATTCTTTTTATTTTCTTTCATCCAGTTTGAATTTATGACCAGTGAAATGTAGAAGCTGATTAATTAGAAAAAAAAGTTGTTCTGTTACAGTAAAAGAACATGATGAAGTGTAGGCAATTGAAGGAAGAGAACATTAAACCTTTTGGATTGTTTTCCCTGTTTGCTAATCCTCTCTCTCGAATGGTTGGATTGTAAATCAGTGAATGGAAATTTTCAAGCAGAGAATTTTATTTATCTTGAATTTATTTTCTGGTGCTTTTATGCAAATAATCTTCACTCTTTCCATATTTTTCTTGGGGAGGGGGACACTGAGGTTTGTTCTCAATTTTCAAATCTAACTTTTTCGTCCTTTGTGAGTTGATTGTATTTGTTCCTTATTAACCCTCTAGGTATTATACCTATTTAGCAGGATTTGCAAAAGACTGAATCCTCATTTTTCTCTTTTTAAAATGATTCTTTTAAAAATTAATTACAGCTAGGATTTATGACATGTAGATGTATGAAATAAGCAATTATCTTTTCAAATTTTATAAAATTATCCAACAAGTGGGATTAATTGATCATAACAGTAGTACAAATTATTCTGAAATTCAAAATTATGCTCAATTTTCTGGCTTGTGTAAAGCCTATTATACCCCTGCAGAAGAAATTCATTTGTTCCACAAAACTCTGTAAAGAGCCTGCTTTGTGAGAAGGATTCTGTAGAAGCTGGGGATTTATAGATATGGGTTAATGCACAATTCTCAGACTTTGCCATTTAGTTTTCTTTACAGTCCCTAGTCTCCTTTATTGAATAGTTTTTGGTTTATTTTCATAAGGTGCTTTGTAAACCTCCAAATGGTATGTAAAATAGCTAGTTACATAAATATAATACAAATTAGAAAATGAAAAATAGGTAAGAGAGTTCCAAATAAACTACTCTAAAAATTTTGAGGTGGTGGAGATCATTTCTGTGTAGAAGCATTAGGGAAGGCTTCAAGCTACTGAACTAGGGAGGGGTAGATTGCAACAGATAGGAAGGAGAAGAGGTAGGTGTTCATTGCAAGCATTAAAGATGGAATGAGCAACGGCACTGCAGAGGTAGAAGGCAGGACAAGGTGTGTGTGTGTGTGTGTGTGTGTGTGTGTGTGTGTGTGTGTGTGTGTGTGTGTGTGTGTGTGTATGTGTATGTGTGTATGTGTGTAGAGAGTAGGTTTGGAGAGGTAGCTTGGAGCTAGACTGCAAAGGGCCTTGACCGCCACACTAAGGATTTGTACTATTTTATTAGACAATTGGGAATTGATGGATGTTCTGGGATAGGGTGATGATATGGTCATAGCTGTTCATTAGGCAGCAGCAAGAATGATTTTAGCAGTGACGGATGAAGAGATGACAGGGTGTTCAGTGTGCTGTGCATTGTAATAGTCTGTGACAAGAAGCAATGGGGGATTGAACTAGGGTGGTAGTGTTGGTCACAGAAAGATGATAGAAAGGAAAAGTTGTTGAGTCATTTCAGTTGTGTCCGACTCTTTATGACCCCATTTAGGGTTTTCTTAGCAAAGATGCTGGAGTGCTTTGCCATGTCCTTCTTCTAGCTCATTTTACAGATGAGAAACTGAGGCAAACAGGGCTAAGTGACTTGCCCAGGCTCACATAGCTAGGAAGTGTCTGAGGCTGGATTTGGACTTAGGAAGTTGAGTGTTCCTGATTCCATTGTGCCACCTAGCTGTCCATATAAATTCTAGGTAAATAAATTCACAGGTGGATGTGGAGTTACATATTTCCCTTGTTTTAAGTGTTCTAGTACTCATGAAAAAAATTTGGTAACATTGGTATTGTATAGAATCAGGTGTGACCCAGGTAGACATTGTGTTATCTTCATTGGCTCAAGGGGAAGAATGAGGTAGTAGAAACAGTATTGGGCTTAGAGTCAGGACATCGTAGGTTTGAATATCACCTCTGATACTTACTAGCTGTGTGACAATAGAAAAATTTCTAACATCTCTGAGTCCTAGTTTCCTGTAGAGTAGGTTTGATAATAATAGCACCTACTTAAAGGATTCTTGTGTAAGTCAAATGGGATAATGTATATGCAGTGCTTTGCAAATGTTAAGGACTGTTTAAGTGGGAGCTCCTACTGTGATTTTTGAACTCTGATTTTTATCACCTTTTCAATCTCCAGATTAAAACTTCATTAGAGATTATTATTTGTATTGGGTGAAGAGGAATGAGATTGGGATAAAGGACTTTCCTTTGAAAATGAGAACATCATTTCATATACCATTGGGTAGTACTGGGTGTTGTTGAATTTGCCATGGGGGAAAAGCTAGCAGGTTGCATTATTATGCCACTTATTTTTTCTCCTACTTATTTTTTTTTCCTTCTAGATGTCTACTGCATAAATTTGTCTATATAAACATGTTATATAAAATCCTCATAGTAGATCAGAGCTGTTTTTAAGCTTTTGATTTTTATAAAATTTTTTTGATTTTCAAATCTTTTGATTTTCTTTTTTTTTTATTGGGGGTGAGGAGGTAAGTGGGAAGGGAGACGGGCATGGATCTCTAATTTATAAAAGTGTAGGGAATTCCTAGAGAACAAATTCCTTCTATCAAAGCAGCTGTAATGATTCTGTAACTGATAGTCTTAGACTAGAGGATTGTCTGGGAGTACTGGGAAATTAAATTAATTACTCAGAGTTCTGTGATCAGTGTTTATTAGAGGAGTCTATTAGAGGAGTCTTTAAACCCAGGTCTTTGTTTTGAGCTGCTATATAGCTGAGAATACTCATGAAATAGAAGGAAATTAATAGATAAATCACATGGAATATTTTATTGATTTTTCAAGACATTTTTGTGACATCCTGTCTTATCAGCTATGTCTTGTTAGCTCTCAGAAATCATACATTTATAACTTGTTGTGGATAGTTGAATATCTCAAGCACCAAGGCTTGAGTAATTTAGAGCGTCCACTTTAGCCAAACATGTTGAACCAGGACATTATTTGGCAGATCTTGTAATATAGCGTGCCCATGTGAGGACTGCTGCTTCCTGTTTCCTGGACTATAGAGAAAAAAAGTAGTCTTTAGTTTTTCTCTTAAAAAACCAAAGTACCCTCTAAATTGGAAGTTTTCTGTCTTATAGGAGCAAGCTAAAGACAACAAGAAACGGAAGAATGGCATGCCCACTTCCTGCCGTGGTAACTATAATTATCTTCTTCAAAGTCTAACTGCATAGTGAACTGCACGATCTAAGGGGATGTTTTAATAATACAGCAGTTTGAATGTTTAACTTTTAAAATTCAGGATGTAAATGACTGATTTAAGTTAAAATATTGTTGTGTATGTGTTAGTACTTCAGTAAATCCTTGATCTCTTCGATGTTTGGAAGAAATCAGTGGATTCCTAACATTGATGTATATTACAACTCACCCATGTCTTTTTGTATATGGAAGATGATTTTCCCCGTGCAGGAATCACCCAGTTGAATTAGCCCTATTTCTTTTTTATCCCCCCCCCCTTTTTAGGCAGTTCGGGTTAAGTGACTTGCCCAGGGTCACACAGCTAGTAAGTGTCAAGTGTCTGGTCTGAGGCCGGATTTGAACTCAGGTCCTCCTGACTTCAGGGCCAATCTCTATCCCCTGTGCCACCTAGCTGCCCCCCCCCCCATTTCTATAGATATAATGTGGAAACGGAAGTTGGTCAGTTAATCCTGTCCATATTGTTTCCTATATTTAGTGGCAAATGCCTCTCTAAGTCATTTTTGTGGTAAATTAGCATTTGCACTCAGAAAGGTAAAAGAGATCCCATACATAACTTAGACAACCAAATAATATTCACTGAAGGATATTCTTTATATCAGACTAAATCTTTAGGAAGTATTGGGAGATGCTGCAAGTTTTCCATTCTATGTCTTCCCGTGGGTTTCCATTAGATTGGTCAGTTATGGTATCATGTCAGTTCATGGGGGTGAGAGCAGTACCTGCAGGGGCTTCCCAGATTTCCCTTTTTTTTTTTTTAAATAAAAGCAAGGTCTCATCTCTTACATGTATCAAGTGTTTCACTCTTATCTCTCACTTCGAAGGGGTTCTTAGGCATTGATAGGCAGGGATATAAAAGTGTCATCTTTTACCTCTGTTCTTTGGGATCTTTGAGCATTTTAATTGGTGGAGGGGGTAAAGGAAGAAAAGAAGAAAGGGGATTGAGAAGAGGTTTTGACTTACTCCATGACTGACTTTGAAAATTTATCAGATTCTTTCTCATAAAGATCAGGCCTGGTTCTTATGAACTTGGCTGGACTCTTTGAAACATTGATCTATGAATTTCCAAGAGTCCAGGGGCTAGCTGTTTGACCCTAGCAAGTCATGTAAACTTTCTGTCTCTCTTTTCCTGAACTGTAAAATTAGCTGATTGAGTTTCATAGCTTATAAGACTCTTTCCAACTCTAAAAATGGAAAGAGGAAGAGAATAAGCATTTATTAAATGCCTTATCTCTGTTAACAATTATTATCTTATTTGATCCTCACAACTGTCTTGTAAGGTAGGTGCTATTATTATCATCCTCATTTTATAGTTGAGGAAGCTGAGGCAGACAGAGATTGTGACTTGCTCAGGGTTATACAGCTAGGAAGTATCTGAAGCTGAGTTTGAACTCAGATCTTCTTGACTCCAGGCCCTGCACTCTAGCTACTGTGCCACCTAGCTGCTTCAGCCTATGATCCTAGGTGTTCATTCCTTCATGAAGGGCTTTATAACAGAAACAAATAGCCAGCTCCCCTCCCCTCCCAAATGGCATTTGTGATTGTGGTCTGAATTTCTGATTTTATTTTTAATTCTCTTGAGTCAGGCTCTAATCTATAAAGCATATTATAGTTACAGCAAGCAGGTTAATATTCTTTTAGGGCTTTTCATTTGATACTTCCTATATTGGGGTATTTTTAATTTATGAGATGGGGTGGTGGGCAGGATATAGGACCTAATCCGTCAATGCATTGTTCCTCCAAGTCTTACATTTTTGGGGACCTGGTGGAGTAGTCAGGTTGTCCATCTGTTATTCTTCAGAGGCAGGTAGGTGACACTGTTGATAGAGCTCTGAGCCTGGAGTCAGGAAGACTGGAGTTCAAATTTAGCCTCAGATAACTTACTAACTGTATGATCCTAGACAAGTCACTTAACTTCTGTTTGTCTTAGTCTCCTCAAGTATAAAATGAGTATAATAATAGCACCTACTTCCCAGGGTTGTTGTGAGAATCAAATGCAGTAATACTTATAAAGTGCTTAACACAGTTCCTGTCGTATAGTAGGTGCTTAATAAATGCTTATTCCTTTCCTTCTGCCTTCACCTCCTGTACTCTTGTCATGGACTCATTGTCTTACTTAGAAAACCTGTCCCTCCTGAAGTTCATGCTCTCATCCCTTGGGCCTACAGCAATGGCTCCATCATTGGACTCCCCCATTTCTTCTAGTTTCCCCTCTCCAATACACCTTCCACACAGCTGCCAAACTGATATTTTTAAAATGCAGATTTGATCATGTCACCCCCTTCCCCCAACTTAAACCAAACAAACCTCGGTGGCCTATAGGATAAAAATATAGACTCATTTGTCCGGCACAATCTTGTCCCTTTACAATCTAGGTCGTACCTTGCCCACCTGATTTCATAGTAGTCCTCTGCATGTACTTTGTTAGCCCACCAGAGTGGACTGCCAGACTTTTCCTTGTCTTCATATGTCACATCCCTCCTCTCTGCACTCACAGAAGTTGATCCCATGCCTGGAATGCACTGCTTCCAGCCCTGCCTCTTAGAATCCCTGTGACTCTTCAGGGCTACCCCTACTGAGGTGCTACCCCTTCTTTCTACTCTTTCTTGAGTTTTGCTTCTGACCTCCAGGTGTGAATGTTCTCTCCATCCTCCTTGTATGCCTTGTAAGCCATAACTCCATCTATGTTTCTGATCTCCCTTCCAGTTAAACATAAGCTACTTGAGGGCAGGGGCTACTTCATTATCATTTTTGTATACTTGGTGCTTAGCCTGGGACCTAACTCGTCTTCTTTTCATTATGCATTTCCTCAGTGATATATCACTTAGTAAATGTTGATCACCGTTGGAAATAAATCACAGCTGAGTTTTCCAAGTAGTTTATTTATATAAGGTCTTTGTCATGATCTTTGGCACTTTTAAAGCTGAGTGAAACTCCAGTATTTCCTGATAATGTTAAAGCTTAAACTCCATAGTATTTCACAATATTTCCAGTGCTTTACTTAAATTTTCCTCACAACCAGTTTCTTCAAGGTCTGATTATAAATACTCTGTGTTTCAGAAGCAAATATATTACTCATGGAATTAATTTCACTTATTATGGTTATTAATAATCTTGCACAGTGCTATAGATCCTACTAGATTTTTAATCTGTATCTTCCTTTTTTAATTACTGTCATTTAAAATATCTTATTTACAAGTTGTAAATCCTTTTAACTTCTATTTAACTAGATATATTATTATTGCTACTTAAGCAAACTGCTGTTGCAGAATTTTTTATGCATTACAGTTAGGTGGGTAACAATTTTGTCTTGATAGAGAGGTCATATCTATATTTAAGAATAGTGCCTAAGCATAGTTTTATTTAATAACAACCTTTCTTCCCTAAAAAGTCCTACCTATGCATTTTTAAAAAATCACTAACATTTATATAGTGCTTTTTAAGGGCAGCTAGGTGGCAGTAGCACTGGGCCTGAAGTCAGGAAGACTCATATTTCTGAGTTCAAATCCGACTTCAGACCTTACTAGCTGTGGGACCCTGGGCAAGTCACTGAACCTTGTTTGCCTCAGTTTCCTCATCTGTAAAATGAGCTGGAGAAGGAAATGACAAAGCAGTCTAGTATCTTTGCCAAGAATATTCCTAATGGGTTCATGAAGAGTCAGACATAACTGAACAACAAAGCTTTTTAAGGTTAGCAAAGTCCTTCACATATGGTTAAGTGACTTGTAGTAGGAGATGAGGAGAGTCACATAACCCGTGTCTTGAGGCAGAAATGAAACTTGTGTCTTAATCACTCCAAGTCCCACACTTTGACACCTAGCTACCTCCTCAAATATTTGATTAGCACAAATATAAACTGAGTTTTCCATCTGTATTGGTGAATGTATCTAGTTAAATAATGAATTCATAAAAGTATTTAAGTGAGTACAGTTCTATAATGTTAGAAGTTCGTACAGACGAAGAAGCGAGAGTCTGTAAAATGCAATAAACCAGAACTGGGATTCACAGATTGCTTCTTATTACATAAGTTTGTTTGTTTGTTTTTGAGGCCATTGGGTTTAAGTGACTTGCCCAGGGTCACACAGCTAATAAGTGTCTGAGTCTGGATTTGAACTCTGGTTCTTCTGACTCCAGGGCTGTTGCCCTATCCACAGAGCCACCTAGCTGCCCCTTCTTGTTTCAGAATCTTGAGCATCATGTTTGTCATTGATGTGTGATTTTTCCCACCCGTGCACAATGAACATCCCAAGTACTATATTGGTACCTTTGTTGTATTAAAAGAATCAAAAGACTCCGTCATTTTGGATGGATCTATGAGAGGGTGGGGGGGAAGAAGTAGTTTGGAAATAGGAGCAGGAATCTTCCAAGAAGAAACAGCATAGAAGGGTTTTCAGTCTCTCCCAGTGGAGGGCACACTCAGACTGATGAGATCATGGATTCCCTTAGGTATGAGATCCTTCACTCAATGATGAATGTTTCAAATAATAAAGAACTTGCTTCCTATTGTAAATAGAAAGTTGCAGCTTTGTAGTTTTCCTTCCCCAAAGACCTGTCTTGATGTTTGCTGAAAAAGCAAAATAGAATTCACTAATCATGGCCATTATGTAACTTGACATTCAGTCCCATTGAAATGCATTTTAGTTATGCAACAGTGGCATCTCAAAAATAAATGTGAAGTGTCCCTAGGCCTAACAGCAGGGGTTTATGGTTGGAGAGAGAGAGAGAGAGAGAGAGAGAGAGAGAGAGAGAGAGAGAGAGAGAGACAGACAGACAGACAGACAGACAGACAGACAGACAGACGGAAAGGGAGAGAGAAAAAACAACTTCTTGTTCATCCTCACAAATAAGTTGTTATTTATTAGGTTTTTGTTTTTCCCCTGTTCTTTTTTTTTTTTTTTGCACACTCCTGTAAATTTGCTTTTGGCATCTGTTGTATCACA